CCCCAAAACCCCAAAACCCCAAAACCCCATAGTCTGAAAGTTTTATGAAATTTTGTTGAGAAAATTCGAAATTTTAATATGAAAGAATTGGGTAAAGTACTTCAAGGATCCATCTTCATTTACATTAAGAATTTATTTTAAATCATAATTATGGTTTCTTTATTGAAATTATAGAGGAAATAACACAGAAGCATTCAAAACACATTGCATTCTGAATTTTAGTGGCTTTATAAGTTTTTCCTTAAATTATTAAGTAATAAAGCTTTCATTTCCTTAGTAGCCTCATCTTCATTTAAAGCATCCTAAGCGTTCATTCCTGATGTTTAAAATTCTTTTAATGCCCTAATTCTTCCTTCGAATCCTGGCTTTTTCTCATTTTCTTCTGAAATAATCATTATTTCAATGTATTGATCAGAACTAACTAAACACCCTGTTCTTAAGGCTATTTCATTAAATCTATTAATGCATTTCCTAATTGTTTCTTGATTTTTTATAAAATTTTTAGCTAATTAAATCAGTTCTTACTCTATCTTAACTATGAATTATTCTGATTTTTTTACTATTGCATCGCAGTTTACATCTTTAAGTTCTTAAATATCAATTGATGTTTTTATCATTTTAATTTCAAATCTGTATGTCCAACTTTTGTGTAAAGTCCAATGGCATTTACCGCTACAACATGTACAGTTTTCACCTTATAAACAACCACATTCCTATATATTTTCATAGCATGGATAATGACAAGTTTTGTTACACTACAAACAGATAGTAGCATATTCTCCAGGTTAAAGATCTATTTTATTAATTTATGGAACTTCACATTCTATCCTAAAATTTTTGGCTCTTTTTTTTTTTATCATCTTCTTGTTTGATTTATTACTGTAACTATTTTAGGCTATGCATCCTTAATAGGCATTATGTAATTTAAGGTAAGTTCTCTTATATTGTTGTTTCAAGTCTTTTCTACTCTTCCAAAACTTCTCTTATAATTATAGGACTTTTTCTTTTTAAAAAATATAACTTTTTCTTCATAAAGTCATCAAAGCTTTGAATTCCTAACTCCCAAAACAATTTTATCATTTGATTAGCAGATTTGTTATTTTAGAATAAAGCAGCACTGTTGAATTTAAGATACCATGGCTCTTTAATTAGAGGAATTAAATCGCAAAATATAGACTTTGGCTATGGCATTAGTACTCCTTTTTCATTTTAGTAGTATGGATCACCAGGTTAACTCAATGCTCGTAAAACATAGGGCTCATCATTATCACAAAAGGTAATCATGCAGACAAAATTTTCAGCTACATCCTTTCCACAAATTTCAAGAATCTACTAGAAAATTTATGTTTAAATTGGGGTTAATCTTGCATTAGACGATTATGCTACGAAGCATATAGCATCAATTGAGTCAAGATGATTAAGAAAGAAATTTCTGATTTAATCTGAAATAATTTAGTCTTACAGAATGCCTCTTGTATCTCCAAAGCCAGGAATATCTATTATTTTTATAGGTGGGAAACCTTCTCGATGGGATTTTATATAATATACATTAACATCACTTGTCTAACTCTGAGCCTGGGTTTTTTCAGTTTACTCATTTATTAAGATATATCTGAAGTTGTCAGAAAATTAAACTCCAGTGAGAAAATTTATGAAGAAATTTAGGAGAGTAGTTTTACCAGATAATATTTATCCAACTACCATTAGTACCTTTGCTTGAGCTTCTTCCTAAGCAGAAAAGGGAGAAACTTTCGTTAAAAGCTTCTGAAATTCGTTTTGTTATTTACCTTTTAATTAAGCATCAGCTAAAAATTTATCTTTTTCTATTTTTGACCAATCTGGATAAAGATATAAATCTAACTCATTAACTTTTTTTAAAAATGTTGCATTTTCTAATGGTTTAATCTAAATTTTACTGTTACTTATTGCATTATTATTAATTTTTTAAGAGTCTTAGGTTAGATGAACTGTTTTTGAATCTTAGCAGATATCTGTAAGATTTAAATCCTCTTCATCTTCTTTATCAATAGAAGTCCCATCATATTAAAAAAGAATTGAATCTTGTAAAAAGAGTAGGGCACGGATCTATTTTAGAGTTTAATTATGATGAACTGGTTTCATCTTGTATGGGTCGTCATCTATTAAAAATTTAGTGAGTATTGGCTTTGATTCCATGAAGAAAAAAAACTTTTTAAAAGAAATTATAAATATTGATCAAAATTAGAGATTAATATTATAAATTTATTCTAATAACAAAAAATCAATAATGCCCTTTGAGTCGCCACAACTATATATTTCTTAATTCTAATGCTTTGAAAATAAGTGACTATGGGGTTTTGGGGTTTTGGGGTTTTGGGGTTTTGGGGTTTTGGGG